TGGAGAGCAAATGTTTTGAGAATGATGAGGGCAATGAATGTACAAATGTGGTTTACACCATTGATGTGTGTATGGATTGTGATAAGAGTTGTATGAGCCTCTAATAAAACGATTAAAAAAGTGGGGGCCGAGGCCTACAGGTTGAGAACCGCTGGCTTAGACCTTGGTGCCCAGCTACCTGGGCTCAGCTGTTTAATGGCTCTGTGACCTTGACCATATTTCTTGCTTGAGTTTGAGTTTTTACCTGTTTGAGTTTTTACATCTATGTAAGAAAAGGGATTCATTTGATGGCAGTGAGCTTGGTTTTTTGGAATGGGGCTGTTAGTAGTGACGCCATGTGCATGAGTGTGGTGTGTGTGCATGCGCGTGCGGGGGGCGTGGGGGGCTGGTTGGCTTCCTGTCTGTAGGAAGTGTTATGAAAGTACTGGCTCAGGGCCTTGCTCCCCGTAGATGCTTCAGCTGGCACACCCTCCTCCCACCTCTCTCCTGGCCAGCTCCTGGTCCTTGGGGTCTGACTGGACATCACCGCTTTCTCCCCCCACATGCCCTGGATGTTCCTTCAGGAGCACCTGTCCCTTTTTATCTGAGTGCGACACTGAGGCTGCCCTTGTCCAGGGAGCATGTTGAATGGGTGGGCAGAGAGGGGCCGGGTCTGCTGGCTGGTGAGCCTTCGCAGGCAGGAGTTGCAAGCCCTGTGGTGATGCCTCTCGTTTCTGCCCTTGCAGAGTGTGCCGCGGGCCCAGGCAGGCAGCATGGCAGTGCCCTCCGCCCCGGTCCCGCTCCGGCCCCAGAAGCCATGGAGGACATAGGGTAGCCCGCTCCTCAGGCCGGATGGGGAAGCCCAGTTCAATGGATACAAAATACAAGGATGACTTATTTCGGAAGTACGTGCAGTTCCACGAGGGCAAAGTGGACGCCCCCCCCAGCAAGCAGCGGCCGGGTGGTGATGAGTTCCTGCGGGTGGCGGCCTCCACTCTGCTCAGCCTGCACAAGGTCGACCCCTTCTATCGGTTCCGGCTGATCCAGTTCTACGAGGTGGCAGAGCGTTCCCTGCGCTCTCTGGGCTCCTCCAGCTTGCGGGCCCTGCACTGCGCCTTCAGCCTGCTGGAGACAGTGGCCGTCAACCTCTTCCTCTTCCCCTGGAAGAAGGAGTTCAGAAGCATCAAGGTAAGGAAGACCGAGTGGAACCTGAGCAGCGCTGCGCTCGGCGTCTGATCGCGGGCTCCTGTCTCTTCACCCAGAAGGTGGGCAGCCCCGGGGCCAGAGCCCAGGGCTGGGCTTGAGTCAGGCTGTGGCAGTGCCTGGTTGGCATCTGGAGGGGGGCGGGGAGTACAGGGCACGGGCAGGGGGCAGGCAGGCCTGTGTGGGAAGTGGGCGGCTTTGTGAGGGATGCATTCTGCCTCATTTCGATGGCTCAGCTCAGAGGGCCCTCCAATCAGGCCCTGAAGTCTGATGTATTACCAGACCTTTGTGGGAATGCCAGAAGGAAGTAGCCTCACGTGCTTCGGGCATTTGACCAACAATCCGATCTTCAGAGGGAGCAAGGCCTGTGTGCCCCCGTGACCTCTGACCTCAAGGAAGCCACTGGTGCTCTCCCACCAGCCTGTGTGCTCCCTCACAGCAGTGCTCCACGCTCTCAGGAGATGTCAGCTCTGCCTTCTGCATGGGGAGCTGGGAGGTCACTCCCTCCCTCCTCACCCATGCCCTAGCACAGCCTCTGCCATGTCCCAGAGGGAAAACCCTGCCCCCTCTCCCTTCCTCCTCCTAGACCTACACAGGCCCCTTCGTGTATCACTTGAAGTCGGCGATGCTCGAGGAAGACATCCGGGCCATCCTGAATTACATGGGCTACGTGCCCGAGTTGGGGACTGCATACAAGCTCATGGAGCTGGTGGAGACCCTCCAGGTGAAGATGGTCTCTTTTGAGCTCTTTCTGGCCAAGGTGGAGTGTGAGCAGATGCTGGAAATCCACTCACAAGTGAAGGACAAGGGCTACTCTGAACTGGACATCGTGAGCGAACGCAAGACCAGCACCGAGGACGTGCGTGGCTGCTCCGACGCCCTGCGCTGGCGGGCCGAGGGCAGGGAGCACCTGACAACCTCGATGGCCCGGGTGGCACTCCAGAAGTCGGCCAGTGAGAGGGCGGCCAAGGACTACTACAAGCCCCGCGTGACCAAGCCCTCGAGGTCGGTGGACGCCTATGACAGCTACTGGGAGAGCAGGAAGCCGCCCCTGAAGGCCTCACTGAGCCTGCGCAAGGAGCCCCTGGCAGCAGACTCGGGGGATGACCTCAGGGACGAGATCATCCGCCCGTCCCCCTCGCTCCTGACCATGTCCAGCTCCCCCCATGGCAGCCCGGATGACCTGCCGTCCCCGTCCCCCAGCAACGGCCTGCTGCGTGGCACATACTTCTCTGCTCAGGATGACGTGGACCTGTACACAGACTCGGAGCCCAGGGCCACGTACCGCCGGCAGGACGCCCTGCGGCCAGACGTGTGGCTAGCCCGAAACGACGCCCACCCCCTCTACCACAAGCGCCCACCCCCAGCCAAAGAGCCTGCCCTCTCCAAGTGCTCGAACTGCGGGCTGGCGAGCAGCACCTCCCTCTGCCAGCGCTGTGACAGCCTGCTCGCTGGTCCTCCGCCCGCCAAGCCTGGCACTGGCCCCAGCAAGGCCTCTGCCCACGAGGGCCTGGCCCACGCGTCACTGCGGGAAAAATACTCGGGCCAGACTCAGGGCCTTGACCGGCTGCCGTCCCTCCACTCCAAGTCCAAGCCCCCTGCCATGGCCACCTCTCGCTGTGGCTTCTGTAACCGCCCAGGTGCCACCCACACCTGCACCCAGTGCTCAAAAGTTTCCTGTGATGCCTGCCTCAGCGCCTACCATTACGACCCCTGCTGCAAAAAAAGCGAGTTGCACAAGTTCATTCCCAACAACCAGCTGAACTACAAGTCCACCCCGTTCTCCCACCTCGTATACAGATAGACCTGATCCGGCCCCTTCCTGCCACAAGGGCTACACCACTGACCTGCTTTCCCAGTGACCAGGGCCTGCCCTTGCACACACATGTAGGGGCCAGAGGCGCTTGGGGTCGCCATGCCACGCCATGTCATGCCACGCCACGCCACGTCACATCACGTAGTTCACTCAGCTACCGGTGACTTCAACTGAGGGCTGCTTTGTCATCTGACAAGGGAGAGGGTGGCACTTCCGTTCAGAGGCATTTTTTTGGCTAATCACTCCTTATTCAGTCTTTGTGTGTGGTTGTTGCTTTTTGTTTAAGAAGAGGATTTCGATCCCTGGGCCTCTCTGCCCCTCCCCCTCAGTGAAGCCACCTTGGACTGGGAAGGGCCCTTCAGGTCACTTCCAAGTGACCGCGTGGGGAGTCGAGTTAGCTAGAGGCCTGCTGGCTTGTGAAATGAGCCCTCCTGCCACACTGGGGCCTCTTCAATGGCTCACCCCTTCTCCGCCCAGTCCCGAGCCCAGCGCCCTGACCTGGCCTCCCGGTTTGAGGCTGCACGGAGCTCAGTGTTAACCGAAGGTCCTGCTGTGGCCTGCTCCGCTGGTAGGTGCCCCACGTCATCGGGTGGACTTCCCACTGCAGGATGAGCGCACCTCCTCCTGTTGTTTGCACATCCCAGTCTTACTGTACTGTAAATAGAGGTTTTTGAAATTTATTTTTAAATAAATATTCAACTTGCCGCGTGTTTCAAAGTGGTTAAGAAAATTAATGATGTAGCTATTTATAAAGATGCCCCGGGTTCTTCCGTTTTCCGAGCGAGGGTCTCACACCCTCTTGTATCATAGCCTCCACTCACCGTAGCCCGAGGGTCAAGGTGAAAAATGGTTTGGGGCTGGGGAGGATCTGAGAAGATGTCCCTTTTTCTTGAGCTGGTGGAGGCCACTCTGTCTTCCCTGCAGTAACTATACACCTACCTCCAGCGTGCATGGACCCTCAGCCCTGGTCCCAGGCCCTCCAGATGCCTGGAGTCGTGTCAGAAGGAGAATCATTCAGGATTCTCTCCACCTCTCCACTCAGCCGCCCTCCTCGCCATGTCCAGGACTCACCTGCAGCAAGCTTTACCATCTTTTTGCACCAAAAGCCGGGAGTCGGCGTGCATCCTTTAGTGAGACATCTCAGACACAGAGTGGGGCGTAAGCATTTCCCAGCCACCTCCTCGAGTGAATGAGTGACCCCGGGTTTCCTTTTTGGGGTGCAGGACAGGAGTGGGGCAAGAGCTCGAAAAGAGAACGGCTCCCTGTGGACTAAGGAGAAACGTGTTCCAGCGCTCAGTGCTCGTGACGGACAGCTTGCCAGCGGAACTCACGGCAGAGGGTCTGTTTCATTTTGGAGCAAGTTCCACTCTGAGGCCACTGCTAATTTGCCCATGTCCTCCCAACTCAGCCGAGTGATTTTAAGGGTTTTCAGCTCTTCAATGGCTCTTTTCTCTCTCATCTGGTAGAACATACGTGGGAGCCCTGGTGGCACAGTCTTTAAAACAGTTGGCGGCTGGCCCCAAGGTTGCCAGTTCCAACCCATCAGCCGCTCTACGGGAGAAAGAGGTGGCAGTCTGCTCCCGTTACGGTGACCGCCTTGGAAACCCTGCGGGGCAGTTCCACTCGGTCCTAGAGGATCATTCTACGTCGGCCTCCACGTGGCTCGACAGCACCAGCCAGGTAGAGCACCTGTAGATGCACAGGTGTACACACAGCTGAGTTTCAGCGACTTGATCACGGAGACCAGCTCATCGCAGGGGACTCGTCCTTGAGAGTCGTGCTTTCCATGTTCCCAGAGCGTCCATGCCTGCTCTGCTCCCGAGAGCTCTAGTTCCCTAGTTTTCCACTTCCAGTTTGCTTCCACAGTACCCCTCTGACTCCCTCACCCACCTCGAAGCCACGTAGCTCACCGTGACCAGCGCAGGAGTGAGGAGAGAGAACTCTGGCTGGGAGCGAGCAGAGTGCCCAATGCCCACGGAATGCTCTGACCACCTCCCTCCCTCTGGGTGTTTATCTTGTTGTAGGAGGTCGCTGTGATCGAGATAGTTAAATGTATGCTCATTTTAAAATGCACATGTTTTACATTCGGTTTATACCAATAGTTGCAGTGTTGAGAGATGATTTAAAAAAACAAAAACAATAAAAACGTCTTCCATTGTTCAACACTGGGTTTGGGGTGTTCTGTCCTGCTCCCTGCTTCTCCGTCGCGCTTCCTGGTTAGCATCGTGCCAGCCCGCTCTCGTTCCTGAGTTGCACGGCGCATGGACGGAGGAACCTACCAGCCAGCGTGGAGGGCTGACCCCACGCCAGGCTCTGTGCACACCGCGGATCGGCCGCATCCTGCCACTGCTTCAGTCATGCTGGGAAGCAGGAGGGGCCCTGGTGGCACAGCAGTGAAGCGCTTGACTCCTAACCAGACGCCACACTCTCCTAGTGGCTCCACCACTTGAGAGGCCTGCCACCATCTGCTCCCGTAAAGATCCCAGAACCAGAGAAACCACCCTCCAGTCACTTCGGCTCTGAGCAACAACCCTCCAGGCCCAGGGAAAACCCGCCCCTGGCGGTTTCTGAGGCTGTGAATCTACCAGAGCAGAGGCTCACCTCTCTCTCCTATGGCAGTTCTGCTGGGTCCCACGGAGTCTCTGGGACGGCACCCAACATAGGCAGATGCTGGATGACAAAGAAGCAGGCCTTGCCCTGCCTTAGCTAGCCTCCTTCCCCAGCCCCCCCAGGCTGGCTGCCATGAGTGGTGGGCCCCAAGCCCTGCTGAATGACAGTTGGCACTATAGAAAGATGGATTCCACCCGTAGTTCTTCCCATCCACTTCAAGGTCTCCTGAGGATGCCTCTGTTTAAAGCGCTCTAAGGTGGAGAGCGTGGTCTGGCGGGGGGTGGGGGGTGGGGGGCCTGCTTTGGACAGAAGCTTCGCCAGCACCTTGGTTCCTATCTCCTCGGGGCAGGCCAGCCTGCATTTCCCACCCCTGCAGGGCCAGGGATGACTTTGGAGAACCAGTGTAAGGTGATGGTTCACTGAAAGCAAACGGGGCAGGTATCCCCTGACTGGCAGCAAGGGACTCAGCCTCTTCCTCCCTCTCCTGTCCCGGCAGACCCTATGTGCAGGCCTGGGCCCACCAAGGCCAGGTGCTGGGTTTGGCTGACACTAGCACAGGAAACCGCATCCCTGCTCTCCACTGCCGACCCCAGGGTGTCTGCTCAGAGACAGGAGCTTCCTAGTGGTGAGCCCAAGCTGAGAGCAGACAGTCTCATTTGCATGTGTAAATGACACATTTCAACACCGGGGTACTGCGCCTGGTACTGGCTCTGCAGACAGCTCTGAGCCCCGCCTGTGTAGCAGCAGGCTGTGTCTGAGGGTGGGGAGGGGATTGAAAGCTGTGGCGGACACTGCATCCCGATCGCACTTAGCCCTGCTTCCTTGGGAAATGGGAGGAAGCCTGAGCTTTGGTCAGAGACAGGCACCCCAACTCAAGACTGCGTTTCCCAACCTCTGTGCACCCGACCCAGCTTGTTAGTCTCCCCCAGGATGCACAGGCTGGGGTGACTTTTAGGGAGGGCAGGCTCCCTTCCTGGCTGTGAGGAGGGTGGAGCCACTGTGGGGGCTCCATCCAGGGCTTCGGAATGTTTTTCACGAAAGGAAAGCGTATCTGAGCAACAAGGTGTTAAAATGACCCATCTTCAGAGAACCAAAGTTGAAACATGACATCTGTCCTTCCAGTTCTTCCCGTTTATAAAAACCTACTGCCACTCAGTGACCCTGTGTAGGGCCCCCGGGGCTGTCTGTCTTACCAACTCAGACAGCCTCATCGTTGTACTGTGGAGCTGTACGGATCTCAGAGCCTGCTAGGGCTCCTTACCCTGTTTCATCGTTCAGGGCCATAACCAGTTTTGAAATCTGCTGCTCTGACTCCACGTAGTTATGCCAAGCTCATTGTTGTCCCAACTTAAAAAGCCAACCTCTGGTAACTGCTTTTTTTTTTCATTTCTTGGGTATGAAAACCAGAACAGATGGACCTACAGAGTCAGCAAGTGGCACAAGGGTCTTGGGGGGAGGGGGCCGCAGAGGTGGTGGCGGGGTGAAGGTGATGACGTCAAGGGGTCATGTGGAAAAAGAATGGAAACTGTCGTAGCAAATGTACAATTCTGCTGGACATGATTGAGCCATGGAATGATTTGATATATGAATTAACCCCAATTCATTAAAAATAAAGTATGAAATGTAAAAGAAAAAAAGCCAACCTCAAAAACTGAAAACTCACCACCAATTCTGAGTCCTGGTAAAACTGCTCCTGTGGGTTTCTGAGGCTGTCTATCTTTACAGGAGCAGAAAGCCTTATTTTTACCTCATGGAGAGGCTGGTGGCTTCAAACTGCTGACCTTGCAGCCCAACATGTAACCCAGTATGACACCAAAAACCCAAAACCAAATTCATTGCCATCGAGTTGATGCCAGCTCACAGCAACCCCATAGGACAGGGCAGAACTGTGGCTTTTTGAGATTAGCTGTTTACAGCAGTAGAAAGCCCTGGCTTTTCCCCATGGAGTGGCTGGCTGGTGGTTTTGAACTGCTGACCTTGCAGTTAGCAACCCAACGTGTAACCACTGTACCACCAGGGAATGTTTTTTAAACCCAACTGGAAGTGCATGAACAATAAGGGCATTTATTGCCTCACACATGAACTCAGGAGGGAAAGCACTTCTGGGATCGGTTAATGCATTGATGCTACACTGTCCTTAGCCCATGGAACGAAGAAAGGCCTGGTGACCTATTTCTGCAAAGTTGGCCATGGGACCCCCATGGGAGCACAGCTCTGCCCTGACACACTCAGGGCCCCGGGCATTGGAGTCAACTATAGCAACTGGGTTTGGGGTCGTTTTTCAGCCTTCAAGACCAGAGGCAGGAGCATGGAGAAGGTAGCATGTGGTGTTGATGGGTGCCCTAGCGTCAGTGACCTGTGTACACCAGGAGGAAGCAGCCCATTCCCGCGCCATCAGCATAGCTGCCCTTCCATGGGAGCGGGGAGTGTCCAGGGCCAGCCTGGATGTCGAAAGGACCTGCTGCACGTGGGTTCTGAGTAAAGGCGATGACTGGCACAGGGAGATGGGTGGCCGGGGGTACAAGTAGCAGGCCTGCCACATTAGGGACCCGTGGTCACACTGTGTCTGGGAGTACTGCGTGAAGGCTGAAAAACACACCAAACTCACTGCCGTGAAGTGGTTCCAACTCACAACAACCAGACAGGGCAGGGTAGAACTGCCCGTGAATTTGCGAGACAAGTGGTCACTGTGTCTGGCGTCCCCCCACAGTTAGCAGTCCCCCGCAGTTAGCAGCGTTGTGGGTAAGCACTGTGCCACCAGGGCTCCAAGGCGGAAAGGCAGGTGCTAAGACGCCCTTACCTTGAGTCCCCTTTGTTGTGCTGATAGCTCAACCTTTAAGAGGGTGAAATTCTTGTCTGCCAAAAGGTGGTGCGGAGCTGGCCTGATCTCTATGGAACCGTTGCTTGTTTGTTTGGTCCTGTTCGTTAATAGCCAGCCGATGTGCTGCCCTGCCTTATCTATGTCACCGATCCTGTGGCCGGGCAGAGAGCGCTCTCTTTTCCACTGTTTCCATGGGCTGCCAGGGTAACCATTTTGGGAGTCAGGGTTTGCGTACCTGTCATCTTGCCCTAAGTCGGCTCCCCTGAGTGGGCCAGCTGGACCCAACAGGTCCCGGCATTTGATAGGCCGTCAGGTCATCATGCTGACCTCTGGAAAGTTTGGACAGGTGGACCCTGCCATAGTCGACCAAGGGTTTTTCTGTGTGTGCACTTTTGGTTGATAAACAATGACCCAGTGTCTTCCCGAATCGTGTCAAGAGTTTGGCTGACAGGTGTCTGTCTATGCAGAGGGACCCAGGTCTGTCTAGGCTGATGGCAAAATCCAGGGTTTCCTGGGTGGCCTCCCTGAGCAGAGAGGGGTGGCCGAGGCCAGCCTGCTCTCCTGCAGGCCCATAAGTAGCCATTAAGAGGACCCCCCCACTGCCAGCCAGCTGGCCCTCTGCCCTTCAGATTGCTTTTGATCAACGAGAAAGGCTGTTGAGGCTCGCAGAAGGGAGGTAACGTGCTGAGCTGGGAAAGTCTGAGCTGGACCGGGGCTCAGGTGGCCTGGGCTCTGCCCTGGCTTTTCACTGTCTCACGGCGACAGGAGGATGTCACAGAGTTAGTGCATCTCAGAAAGGGGTCTGGGGCAAATGCTGGGTAGGAATTCTCCCCCAGCTGCCTCTGCTGAAAGCCCATCAAGGTGGGGAGACAACTTCCTGGACCCCCATTTTGCCATCTTTAACATGGGGCCTTGACTGGAATGGCTCCTGAGAACCACCCCGAATGGATTCTGACGGAGCCCTACTCCAAGGCCCTGCTGGCCTGGGTAGAAAGCCGGCAAACTGCCGCTAAGAGCAGTAGGGTCCAGCCGGCCACCTCCAGGGCAAGCAAGGCAGCGCTCAGTGCTCTGAGGGCCTCACAGCATCGCTCAGAAAGCAGGAGCCTGGCGCCAGGTGCCTGCGTGTCCCCCAAGGACGGCCCTGTAGCTGCTGGTTATGGGGAATGATCCCAGAAAGACCGTTAAAGGAAAAAACACACCCGGGTGCAGCTGCTGGCAGGCACCTGTGTTATCTGGAGGGATTGGGAAGGAACTTGGTGGAGGGGGGCGGGGAGACTACATGGCACACCCTCTGTTCTAGGTGTTTTAGGAGACAAAAGACCCCAAATCTCAAATAGGACTTAAGGAAGATATTAAATCTTAAACAGGACAAAGGCACGAGAAAGACTATCACCTGGAGGAGGGAGACCATTAGCACGGGGTCTTCATGGTGTCCCAGGACTTTCAGAAAGTCGGCCCCAGGGGGAAGGCAATAAACTGCACAAAAGCATGACTGACAGCTGAACAAGAGGTCACGTGGCACGTGAGCCCACTACAACGCAGGAATGAGACCACGACTGGGACACACGCATGCTGTTAGCACGAGCTTAGGGCCCTTGGACCAGTCAGGATGTGACCACAACCATGGGGCCCTAGCACCCCACCTCCCACTAGCGGCACCCTCTGGCAAGTCCCCAGACCCTGGTGATTCTCCACTGTCTGAGGGCAGAGCCGTGAGACTGCCGGTTCATGGTCAGAAGGAATTCAATGGAGGCTTGCACGTATGTGGAGACAAAAATGGATGAAATGTATGCTGTAATGACCTGCAAACTAAGTGTTCAGAAATCTAGTTCTAATTTGAGCATCCATTGCTTCTCACATGTTGAAAATGGAGAGCCTGCAGCCCTGGTCTCAGCCCCAGGCCCTGTCTTTCTGGGCTCTGAAGGTCTGTCTCAGGTTTTTTTGTGAGTGAGTGTGAGTATGTAGATGGGGTGTCCCACAGGGCTTGCTCCACCAGCTAGACTAAGGTCAAGGACCACGTGGGCATCTTCCCCCTAGCTCCATGGGCTGGCTCACCTGTGACCCTCTCCAGAACTCTTGGCTTCTTAAGAAAACCCTCCTCCCTCGCTAGCTCTTTCCCTGAGAGCTCTCAGAGCTGGGAAGATAGATATGTGAATGAAAGCACCCAGTTCCCTCCGTGGCAGGCCAGCTTCCATCATCCCTGACCCTAGCCTCCCTCGTTCCCAGCACCCCCACCTCCTCCTCAGAGTGGGCTTACTCGAGAGGCCCACTGTCAGGTGCGCCATCGTCGTGCAGTCTCTTGGAGCCCTGGCCTCTTAAGTGAACATGGGCCACTGGCTCCCACAGGCAGTGTGTTCTCCCGAAGAACCGGAGATGTGGCATCAAACTAAACTAGGAAGGCAGACCAGACATGGGCGGAGCTATTTGGAAATTGTTGGTGAATACACACACATGGTGTGTGCAGGGCGCTGGAAGCAGAGTGGGCGCCGGAAGCTGAGTGGGCCCCGTCTTCACCCTGGGTCCCCTCCTCCTGCTCCTACTGACCCAGCTGGAAAGCCCTGTTGCCGGGCAGGCAGGCCGTGTGCTTCCTGTGTTGGCTGTGGAAGGGGAGGAGGCCCTAGAGGGTGCCTGGGGCAGGATGGGGCCTTGCTGCTTTTGCTGATTCTGTGTTACTGTGAGCAGCTCCAGACATCTGGGAGTATGGGGCGATCAATAAACCAATGCCCAGGTCATTCTAGCAGAGGCTGTGGGTGGTGCAGCCCTGTGGGTCCAGTGGACAGATCCCCAGGGGTTGAGGGCTGGCCCTTCGAGAAGGGGCCGGACACAGGTGGGTACTGCCGAGTCCCTCTGCTTGACCTCAAGTGCTCCTCCCAGGCTTGCTGACCACTGCACGTTGCCGGGGATGCCCTCTCAGCTGGGCTGTGCACGGTGCCCTGGGAACCCATCAGGGCTTGTGCCTCACAGGCACTGCAGCTTTCGTCGGTGAGAAAACAGAGACGAGCGGTTCTGAATGTTCATTTTTATTCCTAAATAAATACATAAATACCCAGTGGCACGACTGTTCCTTCCAGTTCTGAAAGCTCTCCAGATTCAGAGCGACTGTGTCCGCAGTCACATGTCCCGGCTCCAGCTCACAGCAGCAAGGCTGCCTTTAACCAGGCCAAGGGGGCACACCTGCTCACAGGTCCGTAAAACAATACTATAAACAATCCTCCCCTCTGACAAACAAACAAACAACCCAGAAAGGTTCTGACTGACCTTGTGGACAGGTCAAGCTCTGCGGGAGCCCTGTCGGGAGGAAGTGACAAGTCCTTTGGTATAAGTGAGGACACGTCACCTGTCCAGTAAGGCGCTGCCTCAGGGTTAAGGGGGCCTTTTCCTCTGTGAGGGTCCATCCACATGCATTTGCATTGTCCACATCCCCCACCCCCAGCAGACCTGAGACCTGGACCCAGGTACCCGTAGCGGTGTCCCATGCAGGGGATGAGGGGGAGTGGGTGAGATGATGGTGGGGGGCAGGAAAGGCCCCAAACATCAAGCGAGGCCATGTCTGCCTCAGCCAGCTGTCTGGGCTGTGGAGACTGGGTTCCTGGTGGGCTCTGTCATGATCCTCTTTCCCTTTCCTGCCTGCAGGGACCCTGAGGAGCATGGGGGGAGGCCAGGGGGTGATGGCAGCTGGGCTCCCTACTGCCTTTGAAGACCTATCGGCAGAACTGGGACTCTCAGAGCCCCTGCTGGGGACCAGTTGAGAGCAGGTGCCCCGCCAGGTCACCCTGCACTCGGGCTGCCCCTGCAGAGTTTTCGTGGGACTTTGGATGAAGCCCCTCTGAGAACTGTGCCAGATGCCAAGCCCCATGGAAGCGTGGGCCTGGATTCTGATTCTGTGTGGCCAAACCCTGCTGATGGTACTCTGATGTAGGCGGAGGAGGAGCACCACGCCCCAGCCCTGGATTCTGCTTGGCACAATAGGACCTTCCTGCCACCTGCCAGCCAGTGAGGGCCAGCTGGCGAGGGTAGCACTCCCAAGTGCAGAGCTCAGCAGGTTTTGGGGAGAGCTGGGTGTTATTTTGCCCCGGGGCTGGGTGTCTGAGCCACCCAGCCTGGCCGTGGGCAGTCAGTGTAAGGCCACACGATGGAATGCTACTCAAGGGGTTCCAAGTCACAGGACTGCTGTGGTGAAGAGGCCAGCTTTTCCAAAGGCCACACGTGGCTTCTCCATGCCCCTCGGCACCCCAACCGGCTGCCTCACCCTCAGCGTGCGTGCACTAGAACCCCTCCCACGGCCTAGGCCTGAGTCGCTATGTCTGCAGTGGCGTTGTCGGCCCTCACAGGACAGACTTCCTGGGCACGCTGAAGGTGGACGGCAGTCAGATTTTAGAAACCCACCAGGAAAGTAAGTCGCTGAGGCCTTTCCTTCCAAGCCTTTGAAGAAGCCCTCCTACCTGCTGCCGAGCCCGCACTTGGCCAGCAGGGGGCAGAAGAGGCCTCCAGGAAGGCGCCCACAGCAAAGCCCAGCCCACAGTGACTTCCTGGCAGCACCCCAGACCCTGGTTGAGATATAAGGGAGACACCACCCTAACAAGCTAGTGAGTTTGCAAGGCCACTTCCATCTCTGAGGTCAGCCCGACAGCAAGTGGCTCCTGAGATGGCCTGTGGGAGGACAATCCCGAGGACAGGTCTCCCTCCAGGCAGACTCTGCCCCTGCCCCCAAACCCACCTGGATCCCCTGTGATGGAGTTCTCCCCCTACTTCTTTCTTCTGAGAGGACCTGGTGGAGACCCTATTATGACTTCAGGTCCCTGAGGGGCGGGGGCGGGGGTG